CCTCCCTAATTGATGCCCTCTCTAATTGAACTCACCACTGCTATTTTATTGAACACACCCTTTTCAGTTAATCATTCAATTTCACAGAATCCACAGTATGCATGGCTGTCCTGTTGGGTTTGTTGGTTTTCTATACCTTTATTTTACCCCCCAGAAACTTATCTGGGGTATAGAGTTTGACATGTTAATAAAACCAGTGATTTTCTTGCTGCTGTCGAGGCACTGCTATTATTTCGAACACAACTGTAACTCACTATGGTATAAAACAGAAAACTTTTATATTTATAGGTATATATTTATTGATTGATTATTATTCAATTCAGAGTCCGTTTTCCTCCTTAATTGACCACAGAAAACTGTGGACATTTTGGAATTTTAGAGGTGCTTGTGGCTTTTGTAAAAAAACATCAGAATAGGATATATTACTGTGAGATAAACTGGCTGCTCTTTCAGTCCATCGTGTGACATCAGCATCGTTTCCTTTTTTTCTCCGCTGGGTTTCATGTGCATGTGCAGCCAAGGGTTCAACCTCTTCATTTCACAAGACCTTCATCTGCGTCAGACAAAGAGGAAAGATGATTCCAGTTCTAATTCTATGTCTCCTCACAGGTAAAGTAAGTTAAAAGTTTGGCTTTATTGGATTATAAAAACTAAAGCTGACTTTTGACTGCTGTCCTGCAGGCTTTTCTCGGCAGATCCAGGTCAAACAGTTTCCCTTGGATGTGATAGAAAGGACCACCAGCACCATTCAGCTTTACTGCACACAAAGCCTGAAGGACCACAGAGTGATGCTGTGGTACATGCAAACCCCTGAGGACACGGCTCTGAGACTAATCGGATTTGCATACGGAGAGTTCGAAACCAACAGCGTGGAAGAGCCGTTCAGAAAACATTTCAAATTGTTCGGTAATTTGAAAGAAGATTTGAAAAATGGCACACTTTCCATAGAAAATCCAAACCCGCTGAAGCACACGGGCACATATTTCTGTGCAACCAGGATAGCACACCGTGTCAAGCATCCATACGCCCTGAACAAAAACCCCTCCTATGGCCTCTTGTCGTCCTACTTCCAAAGGCAGGTTGAAGAGTGGCCCCCCC